TTAATCAAACTAATTTTTCCAAACTTAATCTCTTGAAACCAAAAATAAATTCACCAAATTCCTCTTCGTTATGCCAGCATCATCTTCAAGAGAACCAGGCAAAGTTTTCTCTTACAAAGATTGGAATCATGACCTTCCAAACTTCCCAATCCTTACCACCATGAAAGTTGGGAAGAATATAAAAGACTGTATTCGTTTGACCTGTGCCAACCAAAAACATTCTTTCTTTTGTACATCTTCAGTTTTGTTGTTTTCTTTCTCCCATTCTTTTTTTTTCCTATAGCGGGGGAGATTGAAAGCTTGTAAAGTACAAGTTTGTGGAGTTTACTTTTTAATATCTATGTAGATATCTATTAGGAAGAATGAGTTTCTCACTGCATTTATGTTTTACGGCAGTGACCAGTGAACTGTTGTGAGTTGTGAATATGGAGCAATTCTGAGAGATAGTTCAAGTCAAGGTGTACCATTCATGCTTATAGTCCATTTTTTTTTCTTTCGAAGTTGTGAATTTGTAGAAAGTAAATGATATTTCAATTTAACAGAACGATGACTTTAGCTGTTTCATATCAAGTCCTGTAATTCTTACTTGTAACGAAAATTTTCATGTGAGGGTAGAAACATTGTAAAGTAGTGATTACTATTTGTTTCCTGCTCTATCCATGAGCTAAACTTCAAGGAATTAGATACTAAGCTAAATAAAGAAGCAAATGAATTTTGTCTGTAATGACTTTCTTTCAATTGTTTGCGAATGGTAGGGAAATGATTTACATTATGGTCGGTTTAACATGAGGAAAGTGTTCTTTCCTTTGTGAAAATCTCAATTCAAGAAAACCATTCCCTTTTAGAAAAGAAAAGTCTAGTTTATCCTAAAACCTCAACAGAAGAAAACCATTTCTTTTTAGAAAAAAAATTAGTGTACAATGTAGCATGTTAAAACTTTTCTTTCGACAGTAAAGAAATCAGAAAAACGAGAGATTACTTCATTTAAGGTTCAGAACAATAATAGAGAAATCAAACTATATTCCATTTATATTTATATATAACAGGGAATAAAACAGAGAATAAATGAGAGATTACTTCATTAAAGGTTCAGACCAATAATAGAGAAATCAAACCTTATTCCATATACATTTATATATAATAGGGAATAAAACTGAGGAGAAATGTACAATTTTGTCTGTTTGAAAAAAATTCTAAATTTTGGTGATCATAACAAATTTAGTGTTTCAAATTGTCAAAATCTGTGTGTCTGATTAGGCTGGATAGACACTGATACAGTTACCAAAACATAAAATAAGTCGGGGGAACATGTTTTTCCATCCTCCCTTGATAATATTATTAGGTTTGGCAGATTCAAGAGTGTCAGATGTTGTAGAGCCTTGAAAACTTCTCCATCAAAAGGCCTATATCAACAAAGTTCTTGAAAGGTTTAGGATGGAAGATTGTTCAATTGTGGTGTCCATTGTGAAGAGTGATAAGTTTAATATAGATCAATGTGCTAACAATGAGTTCGAAAGGAAACTAATGAAGAACATTTCATGTGTTTTCCTTGTGGGAAACTTCATGTATAATCAATTTTATAGAAGACCAGACATTACTTTACTTTTGTAGTTGAAATGTTTAGGAGATAAGAAATCAATCTATGAATGGCACACGAGAAAACTACAAAGAAAGTGTTAAAGATACCTTCAAGGAACCAAAGATTAAAAGCTTCTGTATCATATTAGTTACTTAAACTCAGATTTTGCTAGTTGTATTGACTCTCGTATGTAGGCATTTGGATAAAAAGATTCAAAACCATCATTATTTTTTATCTAATCAATCCATCATTAGATTGAGTTATTTATAATTTTTACAATCTTTTTACTTATTTAAATCCATATTGCAGGGAGAACACAAGATTTTGTTTTCAAATATCAAAACAAGGGCATAAAAAGAGTTGAGAAGATAATTATACATTTCATCTTGCAGTTGCAGATCTAATAAGAGACTGAAAAAAGAGAAGATAAATAGAAACACAATGGTATAGAGAAGGAACAGTTCCCAGCAAGAAGATGGGTTTGTCTACATAATACTTAAGGTAATTCCCTTCATGGACCTGGTCTTATTTTTCCTGGGTGACCAAGCTTCATTTCAAAAGTTTTCATGTCACCATGAGGAAGTGGCTTCATTCCTCTGCCTGCTCCATGTCCATTAGGCTTGGAAGCTGCAATTCTCTTGTCAAACCCGAATTCAATGTCCACTTCTTTTGGACGGAAGTTGGTGTGGTTCTGCTGCTGCTGCTGCTTTTGAGGTTTAGCATGTTTCTGGCTGTGGCTGTGGCTGTGGCTGCGGCTGCGGCGGTTGCAAAGCCTTCCAAGGCAGCAAGCAACTGCAGAAATGACTACTATTATAGCCAAAACAACAAACACTGAGCCAAAAGATCCGTTTGAATGGTGGGGTGGTGACTGGTATGTGACACTGGTAGGGTAGACCTGAACAGGTTGCTGTTGCTGCTGCATCAGTGGCTGTGGCTGTGTCTGTGGCTGAACTTGTAAGGACATCTTCAATGAGAGAATTGAGAAGGAAGAGAATAGTTGTGTTGAGGGGTGTGAGAATTTTGGGGGATATCTGGATTTGGTATTAAAGCTGCTGCTCTTGTTCTTTGAGTGAAGACCAAGGTAGAGTAGTGTTAGCTAACCAAAGAACTTAAGGGAATTAGGTGTGAGAAGTGGTTATGTAAATAGCCTCTGCATTAAGTAGGAATTTTTAATTTAAAAAAGGAGGAGAGGGGAACTTTCTTTAATAAAGAAGGCAACTAAAGATATTCTTTGTGCTCTTTAAACTTATTGGCTCCTATGATTGCTTTGTAAGGAGAGAAAGCAAGATCTTGCAGCATAAGGACACATTACACTCTCAAGGCCCCATGAAACTGCAGCTTTTGTTTACTGTGGCGTTCCCACTCTTAATCATTGAATCACACACTCTATTTCTTTATGTAGCCAATACATACCAAATAGTCATGAATCATGATATTTTGTTGATAAGTGGGCATGGCATTACTTTGATGAAGGACATTATGTAAAGCCAATTAGGCATTACTTCAAAATACACACCCATTTACACTAATTTTGATGTTTTATTACGCACTGCATTGGTAATAGACAGTGCTATACGGTCAGTTTTACGTACGAAATACAGAGCTTGGGTCTAAACAAAGTAATTGTCGTTAGGAGCAGGATGATGTTGTTCCAAACGTGATGCATTAAGGAACATCTGGTCAAGAATTTCTCCGAAAACTGTGAAAGGGAAGACACAGGGTGAGACTAGATTTGTTTTATTAATATTGGGATCTGTGCAAAAGTATCAAGCACTAACCATTCCATAAACAATCTTATAAGCTTAATGGGGTCATCAATGCCCTTTATTCCCCTTTGATATGGAATCTGCTTCTGAGTGTTGAGTTGGTAGAGATATTAAATTTATATATACTAACTTTGTTATCATTATATCATACACTTGAGTTAGATAAATCGGTGCCCAGATGATTCTTTTCTTAAGTCAAATTTTACGCTTGAGTGTTAGGAAAAAAGTAAAATTATTATCTTTCATTCAGAACTTGATAGGATTGAAAGTACTGTGTTGTTCACTTTTTGTACACATGAGAGAAGTTTTTTGTTGAATGAATGGGAATTTCATTCCTTTCTTAGCCATGGCACATAGCACGTAGCACATAGGATAGCAATATGAAGCAGCAATGAATGAATGGGTGATGAAACCCTGACATCTTTTCAATGGAGAAAGTCACCATTCGGTAAAGGGAATCGGTACATATGAAGCAAAACACTTTGAAAAATGGTTAGATAAATGCATGAAGGAAGCCAGCGAGGGTTGAAGAAAGGCGAATAATTCCACTTCCACGAAGCAGAATATAATTGTTCGTGATGCCTCTGGTTGGCACCATGTGAGTTCTTGCAAGGGGAGTACTGAAAGAATACAACTTTAAGAGCTCTGCATGAAGAAAACTCTTGATTCTGTTAAAATTCTCATTTCAAGATTGAGTGAAATAAGGACAATACGAATTAGCCTATGAAGAGTATTTTTTGAACTTGTAATTTTGCTAATCTAGACAAATGATAAAGCCAAACATAAAACTACATGTTCAGAGATTCAGTCAAAACAAGCAGCATCACCATCAACACCGTTTGTCAGCAATGGCATATTGTCTGCAAAAGGAATTCATACTTGCTTGTCTTTGTGAGTGCAAGAAGTCAGAAATTTCAGTGTAACGTCCAAGCATAAAGCACTTTTTTGGGGACCCAAATGCTTCTATTTTTCTCATCTTTAACGGTAAGAGAATTCGTGATAAACATTTTTTTAATTTTAGAATTTTAAAAAAGTAAAACTTAAAATCTCGCTCTTCTTTTTTATGAAAATAACTTTTTTTAATGAGCGGCCTATTGCTTACTGCACATCCATAATTACTATCTGCATCTCACAATGTCAGGAAAAGATTCAAACACCTTTCACTACTGCACCCGCGCCACCACTATCATGGCTTCCACCAACACCACCGTTGCATCTCTGTTGCAAAGAAAGAAGCTAAAAAATGTAGAAAAAACTCACTTTGAAATTTTTTTTTCATGTGTTTTGGAAAACTCTTTCCATAATACATTTCATGTACGGGTATTCCGAACAACTTATTCCCGAAAGCATTGAGTTTAAGAATTTTTTTTTTCAAAAATTCTTTTGTAGAAAAAATTATTCTGAAACACATTTTATACGTTCCTGAAATTCTGTTATGGAAATTATATTCTAAAAATTTCGTTTCAAAAATTCTGTTCCAAAAATTTTGTTTTGAAAATATTATTCCCGAAATCCCAGAAAACTTGTTCCCAAAAGATTTTGAAATGTGTAATTCGGAAGTCACGTTTCCAAAGAGCAAAATGTCATTTCAAAAGTATGAGGTGTGCGTGCGTGAAGAAATTGTGGGGGTTCCGAAAGTAAAAGCCCAATGGGCGTCACCATGGGTCATAACATGGGTCCACCGCGTTCAGAATGTTATAGTTTCTATTTTCGAAACCGTTGTTTTGTTTCGCGCGCGAATTCCAGAAAGTTTTGATTCTGAATGGAGTTTTCTACGGTTCAGGAATTGTGCTTACATGTGAGTTTCTTCTATTTTTCTATGATTTTCTCTTTGTTTCGTTTATGTAAAGTATGTTCACATGCATTCTAGTTTCGTGATTTGTTCGGTTATGTATGTAACTTGAATCTGCGATTATAGTTAATATCTTCAGCGTATCAAAGATGCCGATTATCGGAGCAGATTTGCAGACTCGCAATCATTCTCACTCGCTCTTCATCTGTGCATCCTTCTCTTCGAATTTCAAGTAGGAAAAGTGTTTGCTGGTATTTCGACACGATTTCTCTATTGGGCAATTTATTATTAGATAGATTTTACTCAGTTTCCAGGAAGTTTTCCGGTTAATGGAAAAAGAAAAAAAAATGAACCAAAACGATGTCGATTAGCTCACTCCAGGGATTATAATTATCAGAAGAATTGTGCTAAAAATTAATAAATCTTGTTTGTCTAAGGGTGGTGAACTTTTTCTTTGTAACAATATTTGAATTTCTTGTGAGAAGTCTCCGATACTGGCATTGGGAGCTGCTTAGAGGAATTTCAAGACTTAAGGTTTTCTTCCACGGATTTTGCTGACAATTGGGGTAACAAAAATTCAGGATTACCGTCTTAGTTCAATGTATTTATCTATTTATTTATTTATTTATTTCGCCTCTTGTAAAACAGATGGAATACTTTCTCTCAAAACCACCAGTAAGTGTAATGCTCTCCTCTGATGTTGGTTGGGATTTGATCTTATAGAAAATATAGATATCCCACGTGCACAAGGTAACGGTTATTGTATCCACGTCTACTGTATTGGTCTTGCTTTGATGTGGGGGGTAATATGCCAGGCCAACTATTTTGTTCAAGAGAAATGGTTTTAAGTTGTCCTCATATTATTTTAATAGGTATAGGTACTTCTAAATTTTGATATGAAATAATTTTATATTACTATTAGCTATATGGAAATTTGTCAAATGTTTTATGTTTCCCAGGTGCTTGTGTATTTATACTACGTCACTGCTCAAAAGTGAAGTCGACTATTGAATATATTCCCATGGTTAGTTTAGTTATTATATTATCACGATTCTTATTGTAATATATGGAAATTGTAGGCATTATGGATACCGAGATACATAGTTATCAGATAAACCTGAAAGAAAGGGGTTCCTCTAGAATAACAAGACTACCTTCAAACACAAAAAATGGGGCAAAATTCAGGTAAAAGAGCTATCTGAGCAACATTTTGAGATGAATTTGTTGGTATAGTTCCTTTTATATAATTTTTTCACCGTATTACTTTGCAGTGGTAGTGAAGCTTATCTGTCTTGTTTTGTTAGCCGTGATCTCTTACTGTCTGATATCCATACCTTTATACAGAAGGTATGCTAATTTTGTCCATTCTTTTTGGTTGTGAAAAATAAATTACTCGGGATACTTTAAACGTTTACTAAGCTGATTTTTTTCAATCTAAATGTGTTCGATCAAAGAGCGTAATGATCACTGCCCTGGTCATGTGACTGACTTTCCTAGAGTCATCGCAATCATCACATGCATCGTCATAAAATTTTAATCATGAACCAAGATCGAAACTGTTAGGCCATATTTTTTGGTGTGCATTTGGAAGTACGCTGATAAAGTTAAATGCTATTGAATAAATTAATCCAAATCTACCTGTTTTCAACTAATATGGATCTGACAGGGAAACAATAACAATAAAAAGTACTAACTAATTTCTTCAAATTTACAAGAATATGTGAGGAAGAACAACAACATTAATCACAAAACAAGAAACTGGTACATTAACATGGAAGACCCTCTCAATGTGAGAACTAAAAATTATGAATACAAGTCAGTCCATAAAGCTCCACTAAGATCAAATATTAATACAAGAGAGTCAGAATAAAAGCACAAATAAATGTTTACAACAAACCAATACATACAACAAAACAAAATAATGCTCTCAAATATGAAAAGTAAATAAAGAGAAACCTTACATATAGCAACAGTGCGAAATCTGTTGTCAAAAGTGCAAAATCTGTTGCCAAAATTTCAGCCTGGTCCAATGATGATGAAGTTAGAATTATAATTTTACTAAGACGGCTTGGTGAATATGTCAACCACTTCTCTCTGTTTTTTTTCTCTTCCAAAGACTGCAAAAATTACTCTTAGACCTAAAATACCTCTCTCCACTTAGGTCAGGTGAGATAAAATGAGTTTAACTAGTTTAAACATTTTAAACACAGTTGATATTGCAACCAAACAGAGTTTGCTGAATATCAAATTTTTCAATCATTAGAAAGCACTGGCAACTCTAGACAAGTCCTAAGGCTCTACATCAGAAGTTTGTGTCATTTTGCACTTCTCCACTGGGGCAATGTCTAAAGCATTTTTGGTTTATCAGAACTTGTTATATTGAGAAATCAAAAAGAGTGCTAGAGTGCTAGTGCTTCTATTCCTACAACCCCACACCAAAAACAGGAAAAATCTTCACCTGATATATGAAATAAATGAAAACAAAGATAAAATAAAAAATCAGCAAGCAGAAATATGGTATTTTTACCACGCCTGAATGTGCCAAGTTTGCTGCTTCTTTCTTCTTCAATGCATATCAAAATTGAGCCTAGATTATTTAAATGATTTTGTTGAAGTTGTAATATTTGTTTATCAACAAAATACTCTGCTGTTTATACTCATTTTTCACACATTTCATATTCTTTCTATTTATTTGTTGATTTTGCAGATGCAAATTTTAAAGATTCCTGTAAGTTAAATTGACACAAGTGAAGAATTCTCAGCTGCATTAATTTCTTTCAAACAACTATAACTTTAAGCGTGTCAATATTGTTGCTGGAGACCATTCTCCTTCTATCTGATATGCTAGCAACAGTCAATAATTCCACCAAATCAGATAGCCAAATGGCACTTTCTTATCATTGACATTATTTAAAGCGACATTACAAATGTAATTCCGCACCCTTGACTTGACAGTTTTAATGGTTCTCTTTTGTATTTTTGTCCAGAATATTGCAATTCAATTGGTAGCAGAAGATTGCGATGATCCGGAATCACGATATGAAAAGATTTTTCTTGCGAATGAGTGCAAGCAATTACCAATGTCGGCATCAAATCTAGAACTTCTTAAGTCAGGCATAGAAGACTATGTAGTTAAGCATGGAAATAATTTAAGTAACATGTGTAACTCTTGCTTCCCAAGTTGGTACATTCGTAATCTCAAATCAGCTTCCCATTTATCATTTAGAATCGTAATCTTCTTTGTTCTGGTAGACTGATTACTTTTCGTCAGTTAAGTCTCTTAGAGGATATATTTTCTACCTTGACATTCTCTTTCATCATGCGTAGGTGTCATCCTTAAAGTTCATAAGATGTATTGATTATCTCTTGAATATTAAAATTCCCTCTTTACCACTTTTCGTACATAGGCAGTGAAATGCATAGTAGTTTTGAGTTCTTTGTATGTTATCATATTCAATTAGGTAGCAGAACCTTAAATCTATGATAGTTTCCAGACATTTTTGGTTCCTAAATTGATGTGTGTCAGCTATTGGGCATGTGAACTGTAACAGCTTATTCTAAAAAAAAAAAAGAAAAACCTTTTGACATTTTATTACTGATTGTGGTAGAAAAACATATCACATCTAGAAGCCCATGCAAGAACTTGGTTTGCATGGTTTTTTAAGCCTTCTCAATATTTACTTTCTTGGTGGATATGGGATGCTTCATAAAAAAAAGGGGGCCTCTAGATCCTTAAACCATAACAATTATAGATTTGAAGTTATCTACTTTTTTTAACCTTTATTTAGGGAGCAGCTCAAAGTTGGAATTGGGGTAGCTTGCTGCACTGATAATCGTTTAAACACGGAACTGGTGATGGAGGCAGTCATATTAATGAGTAATATATCAATGCAGAACATTGCGTGCTTCCGGGAATATGATAATAGAACAGAGGTCCGTCATTAAGTCTCTTGAATTTTATGCTTTAGCTATCTTTTTATATTTTATATTTTATCTATCCACTACTTAATCTGGATGATAAAAATGTTTAATGTCAGGTTTTGTATTTCAAGGACTTTTCACCTTGTACAATCTCCCGATCATCTATGAAGGCATTGCAAAGCATTGACTGGAAAACATATGGCTTAAACTTAAGGGGTACAGTAGAGCAAGATGGCGTTACATTACTAGAATGGGAAAACTTGCCTACAGATACACACATTGATATTGTGCTCCACGTATATCATAAACAATATCCAGCATTGGACAAATCCTTTTTATCTTTATCAGAGACAGTGAAAAGTGTTTTACATAGCTTTTTTTATACATTTATTTTATACTTTTCTTTCTGACGTTTCTTTGGATTTTGTTTATATTATTTATTTGTGGGTTAATTGAAGATCCAGTAGTTCTTATTCAGAAAATTTTCAGGATCTGAAGTATCATAAGTCGTTTGCCTTTACTAGATAGCCAACATCGTACAACCAAGTTACAAGTCTACATTTGAGTGTTAAAATCACATTTAATATACTTATAGGGCATACTCATTTCCCCTATATGTTTATGAACATTTTCTTTGTGTATAATAATGTAAATCTTCTAAGTTTCTTAACTTTTATGTAATTTATACTTCCTTGACACATTGTTAAGACCATGATACCAGCTCCTAGGAAATTGTCTCCACTTGACAGAAACCTTGTTAAGAGAGCAGTTAAACTTTCACTGGATGATTTGAAGGCGAATCATTCCCAGGATTTTTTAAGTTCACGTGCCCTTCAGGTGAATTATTCTATCAATCTCTTTCCCTCTCTAATACATCTTTGATCTGTGTGGCTCAGTACTTTTACTGTTGAAAGTTTTCCCTCCAACTGCGATTTTGCATTAATATCTTAATTCTTAATTCAACACCTTGATTTCCCATTCAATAAGCTGAGTGTTTAGTGTAACTTTCTAGATTATCTCTTCTGGCTTTGTATTTAAAATTGTTTGGCCAACTTTATGGCGTAACGTTTTATAATTCGGTTCTTTCACTTTCAGATTCGCAGTTATGCCCCTGATCTCGCAAAAACTATTGCTGGGCTGATATTGTCTTCCAGCGATTTGGATTTCCAGGGAGAATGCTTTTCTCTTCTTGGATTACAGTCTCAAGAAGTTGGAACTGAAATTGTGGAAAGCTGTATTGAAGAAAGGATTGTTTCAGTTATAGAGATGAACGACAAGAAGCCCAACAATTCTCAACAGGTCGCACCTTACCTTTTCGAAGAATTAGAAAACCCTGCCCGGGAATCAGAATTTCAAGAAAACGATTTCAGCCCCTTGGACTTTTAACTCTTGCAAGGTTTTCCTGCATCCTTAGTTCATCTTTCAAAATGGTAGTAGCTGATATAATGGCATATTCATAATTCATAGTATACGTATATTTGTACCAATGTGACGTCTGATATCGATGAAGCTTCAAACTCAAAGATATTTTTTGTGTATAGATCACTTAATTTAATCACGTGAACCATCTTTCAACCTTTTAAGGAAAGCATTGTGCTACCTCTAAAAAAGCCCATCCACCATAAAACAAAGGGGAAATGGAAAAAGGAAAAGAAAACATTGATGGGAAAAATATACCAAACTTTAAGCAGCCTAACAATCGTTTCTTTTTAATTAGGATTATGATTCTTTTAAAACAGAATAGGGAGCAGGAATGAAGGAAATTCTGGGCTCAAGAATAGAAGCAGAGACTGATGACTTCGACAATGTCTCTTCTGAGAATAAATGTTTCACTGATTCCAGCATACCTTTTACAAAAGAGGCTAAAACTATATATGTATGAAGAAAATCATTCGTACTGTAACTTTAACGTATTATTTTAATAGTATAAAATTACTAAAATAAAACATACATATATAATAACTTATAAGGAACTTGAGATTATTAGAGTAGGAGATTCTATCCCTAAAAAACAAAATCTATTTATTCTTTCACTTCTCTTTTAACCAAACGCTGAATCAATTGAAAATATGTTTCTTTCCTAAGCTCACATTGGTTAGGGTGATCATTGCAAAGGAAAAAACCACACACAAGCAGACAAACACAAAAGCAATGGTAAGCTAGATACAAGACAAGTCATATAACATTTATAACATAACATACATGAATAATATATATATATATATATATATATATATATATATATATAACATACATCAACCCAAACATCTTAACATGCAAGGACCTAGACTGGTTATCCAGATATAGTATGAATGTCGAGCTATGATGGTTTATGTACTTCTGGTGGCCTCTACTGCTTTGCAGAGTCATTGTCAATGGATTTCACTTTACCACATACAAGGTTAGTCCTCAAACGTCTTTCAGCCAAATGGAGAAATTCCCCTCAAGTTAAGACCTCCTGCTACTCTCCACGGTATAACCATCCATCTCTACTTGAGTTAAAGTTATTGAGTGTGTCAGGATAAACCTCCTGCATAACTTCAGCCATTCATACAAACAATACAGGCACCACCATGTAACCCTCTCCACGTGGTTCATGGAATTACGTCTATCAATACCATTCACATAATCAACCACATTTTCATCATCATCATATCCCTCTCATAATCATATATATATACATATACTTCACACCAACATTGCATAATATCACATGCAACCTCAAAACATTCATCACATAACCATAAACAATCCCATCAAGTATCACAAAGTAGTTAATAATAAAATTAATTATCTATTGCATAATGAAAATTGATAATAAGATTTCTTAGGATCATAAGAGAACAATGAAATACATAGATCATATATGTACAAGTGAATTTGGTTTAGATTAGTCAAAATTTCACATTACTAGTAGTAATAAAATCGATTAGATTGGTAATATAATCAATTAAATCAAGTCTGAATTCACATAAAGCAAAATAAGGCAAAATTGTTTATTTTAATCTATTATGTTAATAACATAATCTATTAGACTAAAGTGTCTATTTTAATCTATTATGCTAGTCACATAATCGATTAGGCTAAAGTGTATGTTTTAATCTATTATGTTAGTCACATAATCGATTAGGCTAAAGTGTCTATTTTAATTTATTATGTTAGTCACATAATCGATTAAAACAGAAACTATTGCCTAAACAATTAGTATAAAATTTCCCTACAACTTTAATTGATTCCTAGGACCTTCTAAACACTCTAAAATATCTGAAAACACATTTATAACTCCATTTGACCATTTGAAACCAAACTCACTTCTCTAAGCTACCCAAACTCGTTTCTACCTCTTCTAACCCCTATATAAACAAAGTAACATCATAGACAAGTCATAATACCCTAAATAGCACACCTCAACACCTTAGATTACTCACAACTCCTCTGTTTCAAGTTTTCACTAGTTAAACCTCAAAATTGAATTAAAAGTACCCAAAAACTCACCCTATTCTAGAACTAACACTTCCACACTAGATTTTTCTCATTTAAATGTCTAGACAAGTAATAATATGTTTAATAATAGACTTCCAACTTCCCAAAACAGTTTACCACCCTTACCTCAAAATCTCACAACTCAAAACCCCAATTTTAGACCAAAAACATGTAAAAACACACCGACCAACCATTTACGGCCTCCTACACCAGATTTTTTTGGTTTGAAAGTTTCCATAAGTACTAAATGACTTCACAACTGACCTTAAACTGCTATTTCCCTCAACCAACCAGTTTCTCAAAAATTCACCTATCAAAACCCTTCCTTTTTACACTTAAAACCCAAGTATTTGACTCTTCTTCATTCCAAACACTTTGAATTAAATTTCAAACCTCAAATATTGTTCACTACTCACAATCATAATAGCAACATCATCAAATCATACCATATCAAGCATCCTAACATTATACAATCGTTCATTATCATCTAAGTACAAAGAATATTAGCAAGAACGTAGCAATTTCCCTTAAATCATCTTATCATTCATAAAGACACTAAATTTGTAATGCAAACTCATTCTAAAGCAAATTATAGCTTCCCTTACCTTACACCGATAATACAAAGATCTAAGAACACCCCCGATTACTTCTCGCACAAGGAACTTTTAGAAACACTTACGAATCACCAAATTGAAAATGGAAAGAGTTCTTAGGACCTCGATTTATCAAATAACCAAAGAGGAAACACATTTTCTACATGCAAGAAAGGATTCTTGGACATAATCACACATCGAGAATGAACAAAAACAAGGGTAGAAACTTGCTGCTCTATTCAAGAAATTGATCAGATAGGAATATAGACCTTGTTGTCGTGGTTGATTAGGCACCCCCTGATCATCAAAGAGATGATTCAAGAGTTAGAACTCTTAGAGAGATGGTAGAGAGTTCAAGAGAATAGTGTTTTAGAGAGATGAAATGTGTTTTAAGTAATAAGACGAGTTTAAGAAATTCTATTTATATTATCAACTTATTTTAAAATATAATACTCAGTCTCATTATTTTAAAACACTTTTCAACTCTAATACTCTATTTTCAAGGTTATCTCAATAACAAGTTATAATAAACAAGATTAACTATTTTGTAATACCACCCTCGAGCAAGACTATGAACATCTAATCGTCCTAGCTTGGAAATGTATTATGTGAAAACTTGGGATGAAGAGCCTTAGTAAACATATCGGCTAGTTGAGCAGAAGAAGGAATGAACAGGAAATGAAGAAGACCCCTTCGAATTTTCTAACAAATGACACGACAGTTAGTTTCTATATGTTTTTGTGCATTCATGAAAAGTTGGATTGTGAGCCAAGTATACAACGGATTGATTATCACATAACACTGAAATAAGAGAAGCAAAAGGAACTTGCAAATCAGTTAGCAAGAAATGGAGCCATTGCAGTTCACAACTCAAAGCTGCAATAGTTCTATATTCTAGAGGAAGAACGGGATACAATTGTTTACTTATTAGTTTTCCAAGAAATTAAGGAAGAACCAGAAAAGAGGTAATATCCAGTGATAAATTTTTATGTTTCTGTACATCTACCCCAATCAGAATCAGAAGGAATTAGAGATGAGCTTGCGATAAAGTGAAAACCTTTAGTAGGAGAACGTTTGATGTAACAAAGAACTCTCATGGTATCACTATGAAGAGTATCCATGGGTTGAAAAACATATTGCCTTAGTTGTTAACTAACAAAAGTCAAATTTGGTCTGGTGGTTGTAAGGTACATCAGTTGACCAACTAGTATGCGATAAGCCTGAGGATCAAATAAAGGAGGGCCTGAAGTGTTAAACTCAGAGAAGATTGAGCCAAAAAATTGTGTCTCCTCTTGCTGGAGAATTTTCATATAAATACACATGATAACAATCAATCAAGCTAATTTTCAGCCCACTAAATAAGCTAAACTGCAATATATACATTAACTACAGTTAATTATCCTAATTAACAGAATAACCGTTACAAATAAATATACAATTGCAAATCTTTTGCAATTCATTCTATTGACATCCCCCCTCAAATTGATGTTGGTGAATCTACAAGCATCAATTTGCCAAGTAGAAAATTGTGATGCTGGCGTGACAACGATTTAGTGAAAATGTCAGTTATTTGAACGGATGTTGAGACATGTGGTAGATTGATGACTCTACGATCATACGCTTCTCGGATAGAGTGACAATCGACCTCGATGTGTTTCGTCTTTTCATGGTAAACTGGATTTGCTGCAATCTGTATGACACTAGTGTTATCAGCATGCAGTGGAGTTGGTTGTGCTTGAGACAATCCAAGCTCTGTAAGAAGACCATGTAGCCATATTATCTCAGAACAAGCAGCAGATATTGCGCGATATTCTACTTCAGTGGATGACTTTGAGACTGAATCTTGTTTCTTACATTTTCATGAAATAGGAGCATTCCTAGGAACATACACCAGCCAGTAGTTGATCTCCCAGTGTCTGGACAGCCAGCCCAATCAGCGTCACTATAAGCTTGGAGTTGAAGAGATGAATTACCAGGAAAGAATAAACCACGACTTGAAGTTCCAAGGAGATATTTAATGATACGTTGCACGATTGAAAAATGAAAGTGTCGTGGAGATTGCATGAACTTACTAAGAGTGTGTACAGCAAAAGAAATATCACGATGAGTGATGGTCACATAGATGAGACTACCAACTAGTTTCCGATATTGAGTGGGATCGTCAAGAAGCTCTTCTTCATGTCGCCTATATTTAACATTAACTTCCATTGGAGTGTCAACAGGGCTAGCATTGGTGAGTCCTGCTAGTTGGACCAAATCTTGAATATATTTATGTTGGTTTACGAAAATGCCTTTAGGATGGTAATGCACCTCTAAACCCAAGAAATAATTGAGATATCCTAACTCTTTCATGTGAAAATTTGAATGCAGCATTTGTTTGATTCTAGAAATAACATCTTGATCAGAACGAGTGACCACAATGTCATCAACATAAACAAGAAGTACGACGATGCCTTTAGG